CACAAGACTATAAAACTAGCATCGAAAAATTACATGCCCCAACTAAATTTCAACTTAAAATGAGTATTGCAAATCCTAAATTTCCAAACTAGAACACCTCTAGTTCATCACTTCTGTGCTCCAGAGTCACTGTTCCGAGTGTTTGCATATCGAACCCTTTCTTCATGAGACTGCAACTGGTGCTGCCCCACTCCACCAGGAGGCAAGACGAGGTGGTGCAGATCCCAGCACCCGAAACGCTGAGGCTGCAAGCATTACCTGAGCTACGCATAGCCAACACACTGAATTCTTTATCTCAATTACTGAGACAGCTGTCCACTGAAACTAGTGCTCTCCCCTGGTTTAAGAACGATGCTCTCTTCCTCTAGCTTCTCTATGACAAAACCATTTACAGCATTGTTGGAAGGCTAGAGAATGTCAGTGACTGGTGACATGTTCTCTAAAATACTGGTCCTTTTTGTTTTTTCGAGACCGGTTTCTCTGTAGCTTTGGAGCCTGACCTGGAACTAGCTCTTGTAGACCAGGCTGGCCTCGAATTCAAAGAGATTCACCTGCCTCCTGAAATAAAAGGCGTGTGCCACCAGCGCCAGGCCAGTTATCACTTTTGACATCCTTATTACTTTTGTTTTGTTTCTAGGGACTGAACCCAGAACTGTGCATGCAGTGTTCTAGCAAGGTGAAAAGCAACTGGCCTTTCGCCAGTCTGGAAAGCATGAGGTCATAGGAATGTACTAAGCAGCTACCAAACCAGTGGAGTTAGGCCACACTGCAACCCATACTTCCTGGGGACCCTTTGTCAGTCTGCTCAAGAGAGACTTCTCCCATGTGAGCGTTAACCATGCCAGTCACGCTCAGTTCCCAAGGTCAGATATGGCTAAGGCGGTACAGTCATCGTCCAGGCACATATATTTACTTCTTTATGAAGGAAACCGTGCGTTAGCAGTGCCACATGTCAGGACCTGTTCCAATTTGTCTTTCCGCAGCATGCTGTCCCCAAATTCACAAGACAGGCCAGAGCCAGTACTCCACATAGTTTGAGAGGGTTTCCAAGTCTCCACTGGTCCTCTCCTTTCGTGAACACCTACTGACCTCTCAGGACAGACCCACTGGGAAACAACCGTCCTACATGCGGTTCCAAAGACAGCAATGTCCCTAGCCAAACCTGAGAAAACCCCAACCCTTCCCAAAACCAATCATTTCAAAGTAAAGCAATAGCTAGAAAGAAAAGGGGACACCAAGTTTCATCTTCTATGTCTCAGATAACTGCCATTACAAGAATAAAGTCCATAAATCCAAATGTACTTGTCCCTGGAGCGCCTACATTCAGAACATGCTTCCACTCTTGATTTCAAACAAAGCTCACAAGACAAATCCTGGCTGCACACTTGCAGGCTCCCCAGGACTGGAACTGAAGTTCCTCTACTGCCTTTCCCTGAGTACTCAAATCAACCAGTATCGAGCGTTTCTGCATCCCCTGGGTCCGCCCATCACCCGACCACATTTACAGGCTGTGACAGCAGCAGCTAGAGGTTTGCTTTTTAATCTAAGCTCAACTCCATTTCTCTTAACTAGCCCCTAAAAGCTTGTGACTGTGATGAATTATAGATCAGATGCACTGAGGACTGTCTCAGCCTTTTAACTCTCCCAACCATGCCCATTCCCACTTGTTTCTAAATGGCAGCAGATCCAGCAGCAACTGGCAGAGGTGAGATCAAGACTTCACTTGGAACTGCTGGAGGAGTGTTTGCAGTCACCCAGAAGAACTGCTGGAGGACTCTTCAGTCACCCAGAACTGCTGCCAGGGCCTGTTCTTTTTTATTATAGTCACGGAACACAACCAGGCTCTCAAGTTTCCCACAGGGCTGTGTGTCTGCTACCCATATCACCCCAAGATGCCATCCCAGGACCTCAGCAGAGAGAATACTCACACAGGCTACAGGTCAAAGGGAACAATACTTGCAAGACAATGCAAATGAATGAAGCAAAATTATAGCATTTATAAGTTTAGTAACTAGCAAGATACTTTATTTTTCTAGATTTCAATTTCTTCATTTCTGTGAAGAGAGGTAAGAAATTAAGATCAATTATCAGACCAGTACCTAAAGCACAAACGAAAGCAGGCTTAGCCAGAGGTGAGTAGGACGCAGGCCTGGCAGTAAACATGTATCTGAGCACCTACCTGTCCAGGAGGCCTGAAGTCTGCCTCCTTATAAAGTCAGATGAGGCCTATGAGACAGTCTTGCACTTGCAGACCTCGCCGTAACGTGGCTTTGAGAACATGGTTTGCAAACGGAGGCATCTGCTGGGAGATAAGTGAGTTCTAATTTACGGGGAAAACTACCTTGACACCATACGCATTATATACTCTTACTGGCAGAAACCTTCAAACACAAGACAAGATGGCACATCTTACATTCTAATTATGTGGGAGCCACAGTATGACATCTTCTTAGACCGTATTCTGGAGTTCGGAGGTAAGGACAGGAAATGGATATAGTACTTACTCATCAAAAGCCCAATGCTTTGGGCTACTGCTGCACCTTGTTTGAGAATATTAAACTTGGTTTTTATATTCCAACAATACCATTCCAATGGGAGAGAGAAAATCTGATAATCAACTCAAAGGAGCAGGGCAAGTCATAGCAAAGGGCGCAAGAAAATGCCTTCTTTACGGGTGAAAACCCTAAAACTGCACACAGGCTTGATAATAAGGGTTCTCACTGAACTGGACCAGTAACAGAGAACAGAGGGTCCCTCCACCAGAATGGCCAGGAAAGCCACCTGAGAGCTGGGCTATGGTGAAGCTCATGTTCAGGCTGGCAAGAAGAGTCTTCTCATCCTTGTTCAAGATAGTAGCAAATCATGAATTCAACTTACTACTTCTTTAGCCTTTTTAAAGAAAGCATTAACAATTATGTTTAGTGTAATTTTATTGCTTAGCTTATTCACCAGAGTCATACCCTGTGTTCCAAAGAGGATTCACACACTTGCCAGCAGTACTGACTCCACTCTTGAGACATCCCAAATGCCCACCCTAGCAATCAGTGACTGTGGCTGTTCCCTGCTATTTTCGCAAATTAAGAGAGACAAACTGAATTTCCTAACTTCTTAAAGATCCTCCTACAAACAAATTTTTATTATAAATATTTTCTCTTGGAATAAAGAATTATTGCATTCAGCACTACCTGCCAACTTGTTCTAAAGCAACAGAAAACATGGAGTCAAGATAAACAGCAAAGACACCCGCGTGCCATGCTAAGTGTCTTTCTAGAAAAATAAAACCAACCAACCCAGGAGTTAACAGGAACCGTTCCCACTAGCCTGCTGGGTGACAATAGCTGGGTTTGGTAATCTGCTCCTGTTGTGTAAACTGAACTGCTCCTCTAAGTCCCGAGGAGCAGATGAGAAGGCAGAAAGTCTTCAGATCCCAAGCATCACAAAAGATCTTGACTGTATCTGTAACCTTGTTTGAGGATAAAAACGTTCCCTATTTGCCAGGGGTAGTAATGTCCGAGTAATCCTTCAGCACTCCAGCCAAATGATCGTTGTGTGTCTTAAACCGTCGCTTCTTCTGTGAAGCAGGCTTTTTCCTTCTCTGAATAGAGGCCTGCAGAAAAGGGTAAGAGAGTAAACAACAGTGACTCCAGGAGACATGATGGTTAGGACTTACTGAACAAGTCCAGACACCAGCAGCAAAGACCCATCCCTCCCACACCCAAATCACAGCACTCCAGCGAGACTGATGCCCTCTGCAATGAACAGGCAGGGACTTAAAGTGTGACACAAGTATGGTGGCCATTAAGTCATTAAACTCAGAGGCAAGGGATGTCTGTGCTTTGTCTCCACTACCATGTCTAAAAAAGACTTGCCACTTAGCGGTTTAAAAAAATGAGCTTTAGAAAATATGGCAAAATATTGAAAAATGACAAAACTAGAAAAAGCGTAGGCACATGAAGCTTTGCTATTCTGTATACCTGAAACACCACGTTTAGAAAATTCAAAATTAACAATAATCAAGTATTTGGGTTTTTGTGTGTGTGCGTGTGCGTGCGTGCGTGCGTGCGTGCGTGCGTGCGTGTGTGTGTGTGTGTGTGTGTGTATCCCCTCCTCGCTACCCTGAGACAAGGTTTCTCTGTGTAGCCCTGGCTGTCATGGAACTCACTCTGTAGACCAGGCTGGCGTCAAATTCACATAGATTTGCCTGCTTCTGTCTCCCAAGTGATGGGATTATAGACATGTGCCACCACTGTCCAGCAACAATAAATCTTTTTATTCACTGACCCTTAGAGAGTCACTATTTTAAAAAAAAAAAAGGAAAAAAAGCTACAAAGCATGCTTGGGAAGGGGAGCGAGCAGAGCCCTAAGTCTAGAATGCTGGCTGTTCTTCGACTAAAATTAGTAGTTAACAGGTACAGGGGGATTTACCAGCCTTCGTTTTAATATCCACTATGAGTAGAATTTAAGCACTGTAAAGACTATACATGGTTGCTAAAAAAGGACAATTCAGTATCATCAGGATATGACAGATCCATCTGGGCACCAACATGAAAGGGCAGAGGAGGGACAACAAGGTCTAAGAAAGACCAACCAGATGAAGATGAAGCTCCCCTTTGAAATCAGGGACAGGACTGGGAGGAGGCAGAGACAGGCAGATCTCTGAGCTGGAGGCCAGCCAAACACACAGGGTTTCTCTGTGTAACCCTCCAGAGGTCAGCCAGAGATACACAGAGAAACCCTGTAGGGGGAGGAGGAAGTGTATAGAGGATCAGAGACGAGAAAATGTGGCTGGAGCTCAAGTTGCTCTGCTGGGACGGCTGCAGGATGATGAGAAAGCTCTCCCAGGCTGGGGCATCCCTACGGGTGGGTTCACTGGCTGGATCTGGCCAAGTCAATACATTAGGCCCAGAGAAAACCTGGCAGAGGGAACCAGCGCCTCATTTGTCAGAGAGCAGGATGAGGAGCAGAGAAGGGACTGAACTGCATGTCTAAAGATGACATACCACTTTCTTTGGTCCAGATTCCTGCATGGAAGAAATACCCTGTCGTTTCAGATACTCTTCAATTTTTTCCTCATCCATTGAATCCACAGTGACACTCCTCCACAGTTTCTGGAACTCTGTAACATCAAGACAGTAGTTATTGTAGTCACTATCCATTTGACCATGGACATTTTATAGACCACTGCATCTTGGCAGGCAAAGTTGAGAGAGAGAGAGACAGAGAAGGCAAGACTACTCCAGTGCTGGGCACAGCAACAGAAGGGTCTGACCTGAAGGCAACAGACAGTCACCAGTGAGCCCAATCCAACAGTAAGAGAAGCAGTAACTCTAGTCCTAAACTCAGTTCCTCCTTTTGGGGCAAATTCTTCAAATACTGGCTCAAGGCCCTGAGCTTAATGTATTCCACCTCTGTACTGATATGAAGGAAGCATTTGGGGAGATGGGGCCCCCAAGCTTTATAACATCTTGTTTAAAAAAGTTTTCTTTTCTATTTTTTTTTTAAATCTGCTGAGGCATTGGTAAGTGACAAAAAGGGAAAGAAAAAAAAAAACAAAAACAAATCTAGGGTAGATTAAGAAATAGCCCTTATGAAACAAAGGAGAAAGGCAGGTGACTAGCCTCAGTATCTTGTTCTTGTATTGAACATGTACAAAACAAAAATTCTTTGCATCTTTAATTCCCCTCCTAAAGACAGCTTTAATACAAGCTTGTTAACAGCCGTGTCAGCATTCCCTTCACATGCAAAACCTGAGCCGGTCAAGTCTTCCAGTGCGTACTCTGGGATCTAAGAAAGACTCCTCTCTGAATGCCAAGGTGGTTCACTAGGCTTCCTGCTCACCACGACACAGAGGCTGCTGTGCAGACCTGACTGCCATCCAATCCCTACACCAACATGCCTCTTCCGAGTCTTTCCACTAGCCTTCCCATAGGTTGTCACACGCTCCATCTGCAGGCTATATGACAGATCAGTAGGGAAGGCTATTCTTTCAGAAAAAAACATGATTTCATTCCCAGTACCCACATGGCAGCTCACAACCATCTATAATTCAAATTCTATGGAGTCTGATGCCCTCTTCTGGCCTCCATGGCCCTGCCCAAATGGGATGCATAGACATACATGTAGGCAAAACACCCATACAAAAACAAAACTGAAAAAATTCAATGTACAAGTAGAAAAGGCAGGCTCATCTCTTACCATATGCAACAGTCATTCAACATGGATCAGACACACACACACACACACACACATGCACACAGTTTATGGAGCTCTGCTGTAGTTATTTGTTCCTTTGTAATGACTCTCCCTCAGGTCTTTTCACCGTGCACACTGACAGCCTAGCGGAGCCTCTCTTCAGCTGTCGCCACACTTCTCATCTTAGGCTTTTCTAGACAGCGTTATCAGTTACTAAGGTTATCAGCTATTTTAAGTTATGTATCTTCTAGTTCAAATATGTGATCTTAAGAATTTGGTAGTCCACGCCTTCAATCCCAGCACTCCGGAGGCGGAGACCAGAGACTTCTTCATTTAAGGCCAGCCTGCTACAAATACTGAGCTCCAGGACAGCCAGAACTACACAGAGAAACTGTCTAGAAAGGAGGAGGCGGGAGGAAGAAAAGGATTCTGTCCTAGTTCTCAACAGTGTATTGATTTCTTTTGTCTTGTTATGGTTTTGTTGGTTTTTTTTTTAAGCAGGACATCCTCTGAGACAGTTGGAATCAGAGGCGAACAGGCTGTATGCCTGGAAATGGGAACGCCTTTCCTCCTGCCAAGCATGCAGAGATTGAGTCAATCTAGTCAGGATGTGAGCTTGGTCGGCAAACTTCTGCTACCTTAACGAACCCACTAGCTTCCAATTCCTTAAGCCATTCCGTGGGTTCCAGACAGTCTGGTTTTCCAGCAGTATCTGTCAGTGGCTGCTGATCTCCAATCCTATAGCCTCCTTGCATATTCCTGGAACTCACAGAACTCAGTCACACTACCCCACTGTGTGTGTGTGTGGGGGGGGGGGGGTAAGCCTCTGTTTTGGGCAAACACTGAGTTCCAGAATGTCCTCCTCTGCTACTTCCTTTCCTCTAAGGTTAGGAACACACCATAATTCTTTAAGGCTTTTGTCTGACAGAAAGAAAGGAGGAGGCTCTAGATGTGGTGGTACACTCCCATAATCCCAGCCCGAGGACAGAGGAGGATGAGACAGGAGGGTTCCCAGATCAAGACCAGCTATGGGTATACAGAGCTGAGATACAGTCTTAAAAATGATTAAGTAATAAAATAATCCAGACAGGGCTCTGGGCTTCCTAGCTTTCCTTAGCGGCTACTGTTCCTCTCCTCCAAGGCTATCCAATGAAGGAAGACATTTTCCCAGTATCTCCACACTGGCTCAACCTTCAGCCCTCAAACTCTGATGGAGTCTATGGAAAAGAGCTTGTCAGCGGGTAACTTGTACCCCTAAATCCACAACTCTTAAAAAAGTCTATGACTTCATACTAATCTGAGCCAGGCCTTCGGCAATACATTTACAATTTCAACTGCATTCATTGATTGGTGCTCATTTTGTCTGTCTTAGGTAAGCAAGTATTCATGCACACAGGAAAAAACTTACCCTGTGCTGGTTAGTTTTATGTCAACTTCACAGAAGCTAGAGTCCTCTAGAAAAAACAGAACCTCAACTGAGAAAATGCCTCCCTAGCTGCCCACAGTAGACTTTACACTTCCCCAAATCACTACTTGAGAAAATTCCCTACACCTGGGCAGTTAGGGAGGCTATAAGAAAGCAGGCTGAACAAGCCAGGAGGAGCAAGTAAGTGTGAGCAGCACCCCTCCATGGCCTCTGCATCAGCCCCTGCCTCCAACTTCCTGCCCTGTTTTATTTCCTGTCCTAACTGCCTTCAATGATAAACAGTGATACAGAAGTATAAACAAGCTAAATAAACCCTTTCTTCCCCAACTTGCTTCGGTCCTGGTGTTTCACTACAGCAACAGCTAAATAATCCTAAAACACACACTATAACTTTCATTCATTAAAACAAACAAAAAAAACCCAACTATTCCCTTTTTCTTATTTTATTTCGTTTTTGAGACATCATTCCTCTCTGTAGTCCTGGGTCTCCTGGAACTTGCTCTGCAGACCAGGCTGGCCTCTAACTCAGAGACCTGCTTCCAAGGTATGCACCACCACCATCTGACCCTGTTCCCTTTTACTAAAAACAAGATACTAAACTATTTTCAGAGAAAGTTCATGACTTCTTTGTGCTCATTTACCTACTTTTTTGGCAGTACTAGTGACCAATCCCAGGGCCTTGCAGACTCTACAACTTAGGTGTATCTCCAGCTACTTTGTGCTTTAACCCAAGGTCTGCCTATCGAACTCTTAAGCTGGCCTTAAGCTTTTAAGATCTCAATCCTCCTGCTGCCTCCCATGTGTCAGAATTACATGTACCAACAATGTCCAGTAATTTTTTAAATGTTTCTCTTGAAGCTTTGCATTGCCTTACTCTGCAGCTGTTACAGGATTTGTTATCTACATAACTCTACAGATAACTACAGCTACACATATATTTAAGATGAACATTAGATCACAAGGCAAAATTGCAATAGTGTTTGAAAAGATCCCAAATTTAATTGTTTTTTTAACTATGTGAGGAAGAAAACTATTCAACAAACAAGGGTACAAAGTGAAATTACTTTTTAATTTTATAAAACTGATCTAAGAAACTACAACTAAAAAATAAAATAATCTTTATTTTCTTCTTGTTATTTAGTTTGGTCTGATTTCCTCCCCACAGACAGGTTTTCTCTCTCTGTAGCCCTGGCTGTCCTGGAACTTTGTAAGTCAGGGTAGCCTTGAACTCTCAAATACACTTGTCTACTCCCAAGTGCTGGGACTAATGGCATGCACCACCACACCTTGCTTATTCTTTATTTTCTTTAATATTGTCAAGTCACTTAAAAACTCATTAAGCTGTATACAGTATTTCATCACCATAATACTGGGATTCAGGAGACTAAGTGCAGGTGCAGACCAGCCTGGGAAACTGAGTTATACCCTTCTCTCAGATAGGTAAGTAAGTGGACAGTCTTCACTGTCGGTCTGACTAGGGTTGGAGTCATCTATAAAACAGACCTCTGGTCGTGCTGTGAAGGCGTTTCTAAAGAAAAGGTATTCTGGTTTGCTTTCTGTTACTGTGATGAACTCTGTCAGGGAGGAAAGATTTATTTCTGCTTACAGGTTACAGTTCAACACCGTGGGAAGCCAAGGCAAGACTCTGCTTACTGGCTTGCTCCCTGCCACTAGTGTTCAACTAGCTTTCTTATACAACCCAGGACCACCACCCAGATCCAAGGACGACAGTGCTCACAGCAGGCGACTCTCTCCTCCTTCAATCACAGACGTGCGATCTCTCAAACTGAAGTGCCCTTTCTCAGTGTGTAAAGGTGACAGCTGAGATCAGCTAGAAGGTCAGACCCACACTAAATGTAGACAGTTCCTTATCTTGAAGGGCTGAGGTAAGAGGTTGAATAACAAAGCCTTTTTCTGCTTCCTAGCTGCCAGCACAATGTGACAAGCTGTCTCCAAGTCCCGGTGTGATGCCTCCCCTGTCATGATAGCCTTCAACTATCTGCCTGTCTGTCTGTGCCTGTCTATCTTAATTTGTGAACCAAAATAAATCCTTCCTAAGCTGCTTCTAGCTGCTGTTAGGTGTTTGGTCACAGCAAAGAAAGAGTAACTGGTGCAGGTGGAATGCAGGTAGATTACGCAGTCAGAAACCCAGACAAACACTACCTACTATTGATGAAATACAAGAAAATGGATGTCTTCTTACAAATGCTACAAACATCTATGTCTGTCCAAAGTTCACCATGGACATTTTGCAAGATATTGAGATCTGTTCACGTAGGCCTTTTGACAGAGTAAGATTCCTTTTCAAGTAAATGGGCATATGTAAGTCAGGCATTGGGCACACACTTTTAACCTCAGAACTAAAGAGAGAAGTAGGTGGATCTCTGAGTTCCAGGTCAGCCAGGGCTATGAAGAGACTGTCTCAAACAAAATGGGCATATGAGTGCATGACACCAAATATCACTTATAATAAATAGCACATGACAAAATAAGTTAAA